ATAGAGCCAGACAGTAGTGAACCTCGAGTCTTAAGCAGTGGTTAACCGGATAGTGAGCGTGTTTCGCAACTTACGTTTGCCATTTTCTTACTATACCAGGCGCTCGTTTTACACAATACGTCGAACGGATCGCAAGTCTCATCCGTAGACTGGCTCTATGCACCACCGACATGTCAGCGATACTCCACAGACGAGTGCTCAACAGTTCTGCTTTCACCTCCTTTCGCACGAGTGCAGCTCGGTTTTCCTAGGGTGCAGAATGAGGCTGTGGCATTCGCCTATGAGCGAGCGCCACACACGATGTTTCTAGGCGGAATTGGTTGCTGCTTGCTGTTCTCCGGCATTTCATGTCGTCACCAATGCAGACTTCGTACGACACAGCACATTGTTCGCATACTACCGTACGTTGTACATATCTTGGCAGGCAAGTCGTTGTTTGTTGGGAGAGCAAGAAGAGAAACGTTGTGCAAATCTTGTTTAGCTACAATGCTTCTGACGATCCCAGCTGGGGCTCTAAAGGCATCGTGGTCTCGTTGAATTGTTGAAAACGACAACCTTTCGGGTTATGTTGTTGAGTAGATAGAATGTCGAGCAATTCGACGTCGGACAACCGGAGCCACTTGGATGATCTGGTCGGAGTGCTCAAGCAGTTGTCCGAGCAGTCATGCATCCACGAGCTCCAACGTCTTCTCAAACGTGTGGAGACCTTGCGGACGAAAGTTAGTGAATACGAAGCCATAATTAAGTCACAAGAAACAACGATGATGGCGAAGTCGGACGAGGTGATTAGGCTGAAGAAAGAACATAAGGATAGGCAGGAAGAAATCATTGAATTTCATGCCAGCCTCCTCAGAAAGAAAGACGATGAAAAATCAGCGCTAAATCAAGCTTTCACCCGTCAGGAGGGCGAACTTAATGAAGCGAGGACATCCGTCCAGAATTTGCAACAGCACACCCAGACGCTTCAAGAACAAATTAAAGGTCAAGACGCTGAGGTGAAGAAAATCGAGTCCTCGTTGCGCCAGGCTCGTAGTGATATTGATCGATTGAACAGATCTCTTAAAGATCAGAAGGAGCAAGCAAAGTCGAAGGAACAGCAGTGGCAGGCTGAGAAAAAGGCGCATGGGCAGTTCAAGTCTCAGGCAGAGGCACTCAACATACGCATTGCTGACCTCGAAGCAGAACTGAAGGTGAGTAACCAGAAATTAGGGATGGTTGATGAGCTTGCACCACCACTGCTTGAGGATGATACGGTCGAAGTGTAAGTTATGGATCGAATAGACGTCGTCAACACGACCCTATCTCATGAGACAAACAGGTCCAGAAACTTCCAGAAGATATGGAAGCAATGCTTCCTCCTTAGTCAAGCCTGTTTCCAAGACGATAACCCTCCCGAGCAACTAAATGTACGTTAACGCACTAGTGAATCACGCATAAGCTGATGCCTTTTAGAGTTCTATTATGTGGCGAAACTTACGCGCCTCGAATGTGGTCACCTACGCGGTTCCCCTGGCCCCAACTAACAGTCCTCCTGCTAGAAGAATGCGATTCTCTACGACTTTAGCTGTTCTAACTAACTCCCTGATTCGCCGCCTTTTCACGTCGACATACATTCTCAGAAACACAGAAGAGATAGATAAGCTTACGTTGGAAGTGGCTGACAATGACCAGCGCAGAGAGGCTTTCTTGCGAAGGGTTCTGAATTCGGTATCCGAGGATGTCGAAGATCAGCTGTTGGAAGAAAGGGTTAACTTGGTAGAAGACGAAGTAGTGAGATGCATCGAACCATTGCTCAGTGCCGAGCAGAGTCGGAAGCTGAAGAACGATCTACCTGATGTGCTGAGGCTGGCCGCGAGTCTGTGGAAGTCCCTTCGAAAGCGACAAAGCTATTTCACAATCGAGCCACGACCTCCATCACAGACCACCACAGCATGGAAATCGCTGGTGTGGAATGAAGGCAAGAGGGGGTTTTCGGAGGAAGACATAAATGCTCCCACAGATGTCGTGTTCATACTGTTTCCGCGTGTCGTCGCCATTGGTCACGAGGGCGAACAAGAAGTGTTTCCTGGCGTTGTGTTGCTCAAATCCGAAACTGCTGCGGCACATGCTGAGCTCAGTGAGCTGCCGCCCGCAGATCCGACCCTGGTCCGAACTGGAACTCATCGGTCAGTGGGCGGAAGACGAGGCACAGTCGACCAAAAATCGCGGCTTGGCTCTTTTTTAGTTCAAAACGGATCTCAAAAGCCATCCGGTTAATGGCTTCCAGAAAACAGCCTTCACATACGACGACTGATCCCAAGGTCGACCCTCTCTCCAGGTAAATATAACAATATTTGGCACCACGATTCCAATTGTACATAAAGTTTGTCACTTCGCTCAGCTCTGTACTGCTTGTCAATGCAGCACGCGTCAATCTACACATATTACAGGCTGTCCTGTCGTGTTCATTGAAGGGTTCCTTGAAAGTTCGACAGGCTCGGTGCTCGCCTGAGATGACTTTTAGGAATGTCGTGGGAACTGATTTCGTCACTCGTCCGGTGGTGAGAGAGTATGGCATAGGCAGGCTTCTTACGAGTTGAGAAATCCTCCAGTGAACGATTACGTGTATTCATCAAG